AAACAGTGTCGTGCTTGAAGAGTTCGGCACATTTTTGTCAAAAACTCGCGCTTAATATGCCATAGTTTCAATTCAATTGATGAAGAAGATGTGCTGAGTGCTACAGGCACAACACTGGTTCTTCAAGTTGTTCTCTTTTACAATGCCGAGCTTGAAGGATTTCACAACACATTTCCATAGAAAAAGTCTTCAAACTCAAGACCTTCAACATAAAGATTGGATACTGTTATTTTCAACTTAACTCAGATGTTCGAAACCGGTCAAAGAAATAAAAATTCAAAAAATTCAAAATATTGTGCTCCAAATCTCAAGTTTCAAATAATTAATCAAATAATTAATTTCCCAAAAGCTTGTTAAGCTGAAGAACGAAGTCCTGAACCATCTTAGTCATATTGTAAAGAAAAACTTTGCTTGGCAGCACGCTCTGGAAATTTTCAGTTCCAATCCCAATTCTGTCAACTTTCCTTTTGCTACCACCACAAATTTCTGACTACTTTCGCATCCACTCTACATCACTTTCTTGCCTTTCTATCTCCAAGTCTATTAACAATCTTCAAACATCAAAAGTTTCCAAGATCTAATGCGATGATAGCAGCCACAATATATTTTTTTAGTTTTGTTCGGGCTAAACCCTGCTGATTAGAGCTAATAGATTCAAAACCGGTGCCTAAGATTGGCGCTTCAACTTAGATAATTGCAAAAGTTTCGCGGTTTTTCATTTGCCAACGTTTCGCTTTCTTTTGCAGGAGACACTATGTAAGGCGCTAGTGGTTAGAAATACATTAACAGCCTTTTAAACTTAAACCGAAGGAAGCAAAGTGAAATTGAAGGCGAAGAAACTTTAGCATCTATAGTTGCATCATTGGAATAACAGATGTGAAGCGAGCAAATAAACAAAAAAAATCGACAATGAAGAAAATAAAGCCCCTTATAAAAACAATGCAAATGACGTTGTCCTGAAGAAGTGTCTGAAAGCTTGCAGAAGAAAAGCAAAAACGCGACAAAAAATCGGCTAAGGCAAAAATGAAAACCAAGAAAATAACAACTAGGAATAAACTAACATAGAAAATAGACGATAAAATATGAGAAACACGGAATATTCTGAATATGGCGACAACTAGTTTCCACGCAGATGGCATTACATTGACATTATAAAGTGCAGGTTTCGGAATCGCTCCAGTTGATGAGAGCTAATGGGGTCGAAACCGGTCCTGGGGGTGCCTGAGGTTGGTGCATTTCGAAATCTGCAGTTGCTTTTTTCGAAGGCTCATGACGGCTCTCCTGGTGCCAAAGGCTTTTCATTGTTCAGGGAATATTCTGTTTAGCCAGTACCATCAAAGCCAGTTTTGAACTGATTGACTAGCCATCATCAGGAAAAAACATTGAAAACACTTCAGCGGTCAATATTGCAGAAGTTCTAAAGCGTAAAACACCAAAATCAACCATTTCAACGTTATTCTGTGAACAACAACTCTCTAGTACCTCGACATTTTTTGCTAAACAAGTCTAGACATTGGAAATGACCGTAATAATATTTTCAAATTGCAATCGATCTTAATGGCCGACTGATGCTTCATTAAAAATATAAATTACAAGTGCGCTCCTTCGTTCGGTTTACGATTCCGAACAGCATCTTAAGAGATTTCAACCATTTTGCTGTCTTGTTAAAAAAACGCATTAAATTATTATTAACACATTAAACTGACCTAGTTATGCACGGCGAAGGATCTTGAAAACGGCGGCAAATTTGTTTTCATTTTCAAGCCTAAGGAAGCATGAATCCTGCCGAACAACACGTAATACCGTAAAAAGTAAACAATTGTTTGCTGGTTGCAGGTCGCTGTCGATTTGGTTTATTGATCAGAGATTTGTAGGAAAAAGTGCCGAATTTATGGCCCAACCTGCCATGATGGATAGCAGCAATTGAAACCTAATTAAGGGACAATTATCATAATTATTTAGCAATTGATGTATTTGAAAATGGTTTTACTTAGAATATACTAAATTCGTATGTGGGGCTAAAATTTCAAGCTAATAACATCAGAAGATTCTTCCTGATCTTATTCTTCCCACCGATCGCCAAGAAGCCAGATGGTTATACATTAAGAAATTACACATCAGGTAGCAAAGTGATTACGAGCAAATTGTTTCTTGGTGCTTAAAAAGTGATACGGAAGTCACAGATTAGAGCATGATTGTGAAGACCACCCAAACCTGCACATTAATAATACGAGCCTTGATTGAAGATGGGCAAATTGAATAGTATTTAGCATCGCCTGACTAATATTTTAAGAAAAATGTAACAGAAAATGGTCTCGAAGAAGAGCACAAGATACTTCTAATAAAAACAAAATATATTTTATTTACTGAACCCTGAAGCAGACCAACTACCTTTGCAAAAAAAATGTTTCTGTAAACAGAGAATGCGATTTAACCGAACACCTAAATTATTTCAGGAATCACCTAAAAGCTCATTAAACTGGAAACATAACAGAACTTTTGGATTTTATCAGATTACTAGTAGGGTTTCTTAAATGGTTCCTGATACACAACAATAAATCAAACTGAATAGATTTCACATTAGACAAAGGTCAGTCAGTGTATGGTCTGCTAGATAGGTCTTATAGATAGCAAAATCAGATTATATAAATTTAAAGCTAATTGAGGATGCACCTTTTGGAACTACCAAATCTTCAAATTTAGAAGAGAAACTCGAAATTAATCTTGTTTTTTTGTGGGAAATTTTACTGAGTGGTACTAGAAAGTGGTAAGTTGTGAGTAAACGTGTGCTTACTTGAATGAAAGTGAAAATTTCGCAACTCGTTTTCTCGAATGGGTATTTATCCCATTTTGGGTTTAAATAAACCACATTTTTATATTGTTCCGCCTATTTCATGCAAAATTGTATTTTTTGAAAAACGTGCGTGTGATATTTTTGGACTTTGGGGACTCCTTTCACTTCAAAACTTTCAATTAGGGGAACAATCATAAATCTTAAAAAATGATGCTGGAAATTAAAAGGAGATTTAAAACATTCGTTTTTCGTATTCCGTTCAAAATGATTGTTTCTTACCACAACGCATTTTATAATTTTAAAAGAATTACTGGTGTATAAAACAAGTGTTTGCTAAAAATGTATGCACATGAAACAAAAGTCAATGGGAAGCAAATCTGGATTTTCAGAAGGCCACCGTATCAAACATCCGAATTCAGTCCAACGATTGAACTGTTCCTGTTTGTGTGAAAGGCAAAATATCGTCTATTGTGCGCTACTAAAATTACGATAGAAAACATTTTTCGAGGGATTTTTTAGTCTTCGCTTTTTTCCGTCTAAACTTGCAGTTTGCATTTATAAATTGAATGTGTCAAACGGAAAACTTCGACGGCATTTTACACTTTCAAAAATGTCTATATCATAATACCAATAATGTATTTAAAGTGGTGTTAAACTGAACTGGTTTGAGGTCCCTAGAATTCATTAAGTACATGAGTTACTTTTGTAAGCTTTCCATGTGAAAAATTGCTTTCTATGTTTGAACGTTTTTCTTTCATTTGCAAAAAACTTTCTCAAAGGGAGTGTAGTTACGGTAGTTGCAGATACCAGGAGAACCAGGGCTTTATACATTTTTAAACTAATTTTTAAGGGAGAGGTCATCCAGATAACACGTTTACTTTCGAGCTTTCAACCTTAGAAAAATGGGCCTATTTTATGTGTAACTACTAAAATTCACATCAAACTCGTTCAAATAATGAATTTGCAGTTTTTCTGCGCTTGAACATTTATATTTTCGATGGCTTTTGTGCAACACTCAAGTGAAATTGAAAAATCAAATATACAAAGTTTGCAGGCTGAAAGAAATCATCAAGTAGAAAATATCTTCATATACTTAATTTTCCACTTAAAACGTTGGGAAAAGGGACTCTCAACGGACTTACTTTAACAGTAAATTTGCATTTTTTCTATGTTAAAACATTTATATTTTCGATGGGTTATTTGTGATCTAGTCAGAGAAAAGCTCTGAAAAATCGAATAAAAAAAGATAGCAAACTGGAGAAAATCATCTAGTCGAAATTATTTTTCACATTAGGTATGATATTTCGGCTTGCAATTGAAAATAATTTTTCTATACCGAAACATTGGGTTATTTCTGAAAAAGTCAAGAGTTAATTTAGATACTTAAATCAGACGAAATTAATATTTACAGCGGACGAATGCATCCAGTCAAAATATAAATAAATGCTTCTAACCTGAACTAAAAAAATGTTGATTATACCCAAAAAAATGAACAAAACAATGTCTCTCGTGAACAATTGTACCTATGAAATTTACCCAAAATATTTTAAATAAACAGCATACAATTTTTATTAACTTTTACTATGCCATCGCCTGGAATAATTGAATTATTTTACCCAATATGTGCACAATTTCTCGTGCATTTGACTAAAAAAAATTGTCCTTTTTAAAGTTGTAGAAGCAACCACTAATTTCCTTGAGCACAAGAATCGAAAATCCAATGGCCCGAAATCGGGCCTTTAAGGAGGCCACGACATCAAAAATCCGCCCCCAGTTTAGTTATTGCGATTTTTCTTATCCAGCTATCGTTTACTACCAACATTTTGAGCGAGCGCAAGTAAACCCTGATTTTCCTTGATTGGTAACGTTCCTCTCATATCCAAATTTTTTGTTCTTGACAGACGTTGTGAGAAGAAACAAACTCCCCATTTGCAAGAAACGCATAATCTACAAGATTGGTAGGTTTGCATCAGGTAATAACTTATATAAAGTATTACAAACGCAATAGAGGCCCGATTGCAAAAGTAGCCGCATCAATAGTTCACCACGAGCCATCAATAACGGAAAATTGCATCACCAACGACATCCCAACCATCGAACTGATGCAAACCAAAAATCCTCCGACCCTCAGATCGAAGCAGACTCCGCCCAGTCCCCCTCCTTTCACCATCTAACCATTTCCTTGCCTCTGCCCCCTGGTGATATACCGTCCCCTCTTCAAGAATGTTGGTTGAGCATCCTTTTCGAAGTACCAGCTTGACTCATTGCATTCTCGTTCTTCGGTAGAACTAGAGTGACCGAGTTCGTCAAGGCTATACACAATTCAACTTGATTTCGACTAGTTTTGCGAACTTTTGGCTGCAAATTCGGTTCTCGTCGTGTCACATGCTCGGTTAAGTGCAATTTTCTTTTTTGTTTTGGATTAATTGTGCACAGTGACCTAGATAGATACTCATAGAATTGGTTTGGTGACTGTGAAACAACAGAGTGCCGGACTCTAGTGGACTTTGATTGAGCAGCGACTCAAGTCACTGTGGTTAACATCAGTTCGACTCAACTGCTGTAAGTATTTCCTAGTTCTAATGAAGTCGAATTAAGAATAGCATGCAAGTTTTTCGGAAAAATTTCGAAAATGCGCTAAAATGCGGAAATTAAACAACATCAACTGCCGATTACGACAGAAGCGCGCCGAAGATATCAACAGGTAGTTAAGCGGCAAACCCGGCAGAATTCGAATATAATTTTACAACGGTTTAGGAAATTTATAGTTAATCCTAAATTGCGTTATTTACCAGATTATTAACAAAAATTAACCAAATAAATGAGCTTTATTAAATCAGCGAGCATTTAGAGCGTCAAGCGTAGTACGCTTAAACAGTACGGTTTAATTACGGCTTAATGACAAACCAAGCAATTTAAAATTGTTTTTTTTATTATAAGCTGGATTAATGTGGCGTTGGTCCACATTTTCCGTTAAACTCCAAAAATGTCAGCACTTCAGTTTTTCTGTTCTTTGGAAAGAACTTTTCGATCTTTCCAAAGAAGCTTAGAACAATATTTCAAGTCATCATCTAGTTGGAAACAAAATGTCAGCAGAACAAAGTACATTTTCTATTGTTATTAGTACATATTGGCTCGTTCGGCAGCTAGTGGGACTCAAACAGAAACTGTCGAAGAAATAAACGTTTCCTTCCAAAGGGCAATCATCAAATATCCAATAAAGCTTCAGCAAATGTGCTAAAAACAGATTTTTTATTTGAAAAAATAATTCAGTCTAATAAAAAGTCGACATTAAATGAAGCAAACTCCACATTAGCATCGGCTTCTACGCGACATCAACGATCAACTAGAGACGCAACATTAGCATAATATTAACGGGAAAGCAATTCATAGTCTAATGTTGTCCATAAAATCAAAAAACCTTAAAAAACTCGCAAATTTAAATGTATAATGTTAAAAACGGTATAATTCATATGCAAATCATAGCAATATCCTAGCAAAAACAAATAAACTAGACGGCCACCTGATTCGTTTGCAAAAAGTAGATACCATTTGGCCTCGAAATTGTCCAGATTCCATCAAATCAGTATTTTTGGGCCAGTAATTATTACTTATTTCATTCATCGGTTATAATCATATGGTTTCGCCAGTCGTCGTTGAGATTAACTAACAAAAGTGGATATTTAGAACGATTTTTTATTGTACCAGGAATACACAGTTTAAAGAAAACAGTAGTTTTATTTCTAGAATGTAAAAAAAGTCACTTGGAGTTAGATCAGGTGAGCTGGGGTGCCATACTGGTGCTACCTTATGGTTTTGAGCTAATATAAATGTTTCAAATTAAACTCTCAGATTATGTACATTCCATGGGATCCAGCTGATTTATTTTCTGTAGACATATACTGGAAAACTTAAAAAATCGGAAATGATTCTTTAGAAAATGCTTGATAAACACTAAGTAAACAGGGGCTGAAAAGCTAAATAGAGCCAATAGAAACAGAAAAGGAAAAACTGGAGCAAGCAAATTGAGAGTTGGAGTGAGAACTGCGTGCAGTACAGAAGAAAATATTTTTGCTTAAAACTAAGGCAACAAAGAATTTTCTGATTAAAATCAAACCCTGAAACGAACTGATTTGAACACAATTTTTCGGAAACATTTTGTGTAGAATGGCAGATATTTTATCTTTTCTCCATAAGACTGAAAATTGACTTATTCTACCTACGCAACATTTTAAGTTTTTTGCAGATAACTAAGGGATGGATAATACCTTAAACGGGTCAAGACAGTCATTAGCGGAAGCATAAAGTTAAGAATCCACGATACACAAAAAAGTAGAAGATCAATTGCAAACTGTCGACTTAAAAAGGAAAGTTTACCTTAAAAAAATGCTACCTGAAATGGGTTATTTGGTGAAATGAGTCAAATCATTAAAAGACCCCCGAACAATTAGAGTTACTCTAATTCAATTTTAATTCGAGATAATGAACCGATTAGTGGCTGGCGATAAGAAAATATCTGATAGCATGCAGTTCACAAATAATTATCATTAAAAAATTTGTCTATTTGGAGCTGACATTTGAAAGGCTCCGAAAAACCGGTCACACGAATCGATTATCTTACGGTAGCAAACATTTGGGAAATATGCAAATATGCCTTTTGCATCCGAATTAATCCTAATTGATTGGTATCCGAATCGGGAAGCTCACGCAAGATTTCTATCAGTGAATATCAAGAAAATTAATGTTTTTTTTTTAAGTTAGAGGCAATCGAGTTATGCCGACTTATCAAAATCTCAGCATAATCAACTAAAAATTGACTATGACAAAATCATCCGCAGAATATGACAAAATCAGCTATTTCTACGCCAATGTGCACAACCAGAGTCAAACTGCCACATTTGTGACCAACTGTACATTTGAATTGACCGTTTTCACTATCTGGTCGCTATAATTTGTTCGGATCGTCTTGTTTTATGTTAAACTTAAATTCAACTTATCTTTACTACGTCCAGTTCCAAATAATCATATAAAATAATTGCTTCGGCATTCTTTGGTGCCCATATCAATTGAACATTAACGGATTGGAGTGTTTTAGCAACGTGCTGAGGCCTCTGATCGCCACTATTACGAAAAGTACATTTGTCTAATTGCCAGATACGATCGCGCTTTTATCAATAGCTAAAATATCGTTGTTGTAATAAATCACTGTCTCCGATCGAACGAAGCAGTGGAAAAAAATGAGCAGATGAAATCGAAATTCAAATTCGTTGAATGTAATGATGCTCCCGCAACACAATCTTCACGTACCCGCATGTATGGGAAATTTTATGTTTTTACTTTCTACATCGTGTTTATTTATTTCATTTGCCATCGCCTCGAGACCCATTCTATTACAATGAGGACCAGCATCACGAATCCCGCAAATAACTACGTGTTAATAACTTTTTTAAATTCGGATTATTCTCGTAACACACTTTTCCGCCGATTTTTTCTTGTGGTTCTGATGTTAATTAGTCGGAATTGGTCGAATTCGATGTGGACGCTTCTCGGTAAAGTGACCGAAATCCCAAACTGATCACAGCTAAATCCGTTGCAATTATCGAGCTTAATTTGGGTTGACACATTTGTAACTTTCTATATATTCATTCTCGCAAAGAAAGCGCAAACAGCCAGAATTTTTGAAAGTATTTGACGAAGTCATTAAGGAGCGTCCATAATCAGAAGAAGCAGGAAAGTGAAAAACAACAAGCAGCAATTTGTTAAAATCAAAGGTGTGGAATAAGAGCATCGAAACCAGCCACGAATAACACAAAAGATGACAATAACAAAGCCGAAAAATCTACAAGCCAAAATTGCAAAACTAGCAAACGTTTAAGAGCGCAACAAGCAAATAAAAAATCAAACAAACCTTCTAGAGGAACAACCAAACGAATAAAAGCAATTTAATTATATACAAGAACATGTAAAAGGAAAATTGCAGTTTTTGAAGCGCACGCAAAATGTGGGCTTTTATTAAAATTATTTTTTTCGCAGCTACTAATTCGACTTGATAAAGTTAAACCTCCATATTTCATAACCCGTTGAAAAAAAGAGTCAAAGCTAATTAAATACAAAGCTGAGAGTAAATTGCAAAAAGTTAAATTTTTGCAATTTATTAGTTTTTATTTCAAAACTGTCTAGATTTTTCAGCAATAATTGATTATCTATTACTGTATACATGAGATTATTCCTTCTTTCCCTTTTTTTAGCTCGTTGTCGATTTTCTCAAAAAACAATTTAAATTTGGAGTAAAAAGTTAAAAAGAGTCTACGTTGGCTGCACATCAAAACCTGGAAGGCGTATTCAATAAAAAAACTTTAGCCTTTAGGTAAAGAAACAGTATGAAAAGTAAACAGTTTAGAAAACTCACTAGAGAATCATTTAAAATCGGAGAAGCAATCAGAATTCGGAACAGCAAGTAAAGGTGGAAAACGCATGAAAATAATACAGAGAGTATATGAAGAAATATTTTTAAAAATCAATACGCGTTTGACTCTATTTTCCAATTTTGCAAAGAGTTTTACAAAAAATCTAGGCAAAGCTTTAAAAAATTATTGATCATTTTGAATATCAAGTTGGGGAAAACAAGATTTTTGGGGTGATTAAAAAAGTAGCAAAAAGAGAGCGTCATGTCCCAAAACAATACTAACAAAGCCATCCGAGCTGGAATATTGGTACAAATTCTAAACTAAAATAGTAGTAAAAATATAGAGCTACTCTTGATGAAACCATTGAAGCTTTTCCTTACAAATCTGGTTCTTCTACTGGTCTTCCAACTCAAAACAGCTTCAAAAATTGCAAAAACAAAGACAAAGTGAAAACCTCTTTCAAATTAGCAAAAAACTCACTAAAAATCTTCTAAATATAATATTCACTTCCGACATTTGAGCAAATTCGCAACAGTCCATTGACGAATTTTATGCTACTTAAAATATTCCTAAACACTTAATAAATACAAAAGCAATTAATGAATTCCTAGAGCATTGGATGAAGCATTCAAGTCCACACTGAAAGCAGTTTCCTGATTAAAAAAACCAAACAAGATGGCTTTTATGAGCAATCGCTGACAATTAATTGTTGATCGAAAAGATATTCCACAGACGTAAATCAAATTATTTGTTTACCTCGACATATAATGGCGATTAAACCAATTTAAAAAACTTGGCCTTACAATATTCAGTGTTTCCATATTAATAATATTCAGACAGTTTTGTGTGATAATGACATCAGAAAGCAATCAAACTGAGAATAACATACATATCTATTAAATGCGTTTGAATAATTATCATTGATTATCAGCGAAAACTTCTTATTGCTGAAAATGTTGTACAAACTAAACAATTAATCTTGACACTTAAATACTGAGTTTTTCAGTCCGGTTCTGAATCACTGCGTACGTTTGAATAACGAGTAGTTAACGGTTTTGATTTCGTCGGAAATTTGAGAAATTTTCTCTCGGAATTATCATAAAGATGTTCAAAGTCATAAACCACAATGAGATCAGCGTGGGTGCAGCGTTATTT